GTACAGAGGTCCAAGGTTCAAATCCGGGCTCCGGCCTTCCTATGTGAAGTTTTTGGCCATTTGCAGGTTCTTTCAAAGAAGAACTGTATTGCTCCCAAGTTAGTCTCTCGTTTACAGACAGATGATGCTAAATTGGAAAGGTTCTGAGTTTTTGTCCTACAATTCTGGGGTCATTTTGGCCATTTCTAGGGGTCTTTCGGACGACGAACTTGTCCTTGCTTCTTGCTCCAAACATAAGTGAACGTTGTGGAAGAAACCAAAAGAAATGGAAGGCAGTTCAGGTATTCTGAAAAGCAGGGCGAGTGTGTCTGTTATTGAAATGGATAGACGAGCGTGAAAGTGGGCCGTGGTCGACGGTGTGGGGAGGCTCAGCGGTGCCCCTCGGAGAGAAGGGGTGAGGATGAGGTGAGGCGCTGGACATCTTGACTTTTCAGAAAAATAAATCAATGAAATTCGGGCCCTGATGCTTTTCCCTTGCAGGCGCACGAGCGGCGTGTGGAAAAATCATCCCGGCGTTGTTGTTGTCCTGACAACGGGAAACCAGCAGGACCATTCGTACTCATCGGGCTCGTTTATCGGAGTTCATTCCGTTGCCAGATGTGAGCAAACGGCGTCCTTGTCGGCGTGATGAGCAAAACAGAGTTTTTCCAGAAGCTTTCCTTCGTGGAGATAACATCCAGAGCAGAAAGCAGACTCAACCGCTAGCATATGTTTATATCTATATACAGTTCATGACAAGCATCTTGTAAAACCGACAATGTTCCTTTTATAGTGAAAAAAAACGAGACGTGCAAAATAATATGAAGCGTGTGCGTGCCTGCTACTCCAAAAGTTGGCAAAAGGTCCCAAACAATGGCAAAGGCGCGGCGAATAGTAGCTAATCTTCGCAATACTGTCCTACAACCGCTAACAGTCGCCATCTGTCTTTCACAAACACTTTCCCAAACATTCGCGCGTGGTCTCGAAGCATCGTTAAAAGTTTCGAAGTTGTCGTTAATGGCACAGGCCACACCCTGATTTTTTTTTTTTTGTCAACATTCATCAGTTGACGGCGCTCAGTGTAGATTTTTTTGTACTTTTTAGAAGGCTACACAGTGTAGCTTAGCATAAATGTTCGCTGCTATTCTCGGTGTGTCTTTTTGGGTTTATATAATGTAGCTAAGCATTAGCGTGAGTGGCTATTCCTGTTTTTTTTTTTTTTTCCTACAGTACACCGTGTAGCTTGGCATAAGTATGAGCTGCCATTCCAGTTGCGTTTTTCTGGAGTGCTCACCTTTCAGTGCGTCCTCGGGCTGTAAATCTCACATGTGTTTTTGTGGATGACGACGTTGCCTGATCAGCTGCTGCTTCCAGGCGACCAATCAGAGTGTTTTTTTTTTTTTTCCCTCTGGGATGGTGAGCAGACATCTGGATGCGTTTAGGAGAAGCAAGCTTGGCCTCTCGTATTTGGTTTGGTGCACTCGGCGGCTGGCGTGGAAAAACAAACCTTAATGAAGTCTTGGCCCGCTCCCGTGACTCTCGCTGGCTGCCTGGCCATGTTTTTTTTTTGTTTTTGTTTTTGGACCGCGCTTTAGTGGAAAAGATGAATGTACAACAATCGGCCATTTTCTGGGATTTGTTGACATGCAAGCCCCCCCCCCCCCCCCCAACCACCCAAGTCATAATTAGCATTTAAATATCTAATATTTCCTTACAATAACACCAACATGACTTCTCTTCACTCCCATTAGCAATGTGAAATGGACAGATGATTAGGAACAGGGGCTGTTCAGGGATGCATCTTCCAGAAATTGTCCTTATTTTTTTGTTCGTGGAGAAGCCAGGGTACAGTTTGATTTCTAAAACAGACAGACGGGATGGGTCATACTGAGGTTTTATGATGTGTATGTAAAATACTTCACTTTATTCTTAGAATAAAATAATTCTCATTTTAAAAACGATTCAAAGTTATTGTAGCTGACAGAGCATTGACACAATCATCAGAGAAAATATGATATGATAAATGTGATATAGTTTAATGAGAGCAACTGATGTAGCAAGATCTGTATTTGATGATGGTGTGTCGAGTCTACATCATTAGACGAGGATATAGTGATACATGGTGATATCGTTATTTTTATGAGTGGATCTATGCTGTATCATTAGAAAAAGTGATACAGCTGACGATTGTATCATTACAGAAAACAGTAGTTTAACAAAAAATAAATACATATATATGTGTGTGTGTGTGTGTGTGAATCCAGTATCATTGGAGAAAGTGATTCATTCTCTAAAAGTACTGAAAGCACAAACAATTCTACCGAAATAGGTCCGCAGGATTCAGGATTTTCAAAAAGTGACGTTATTGAGAACACGGAGCCTTCAAGTTTGGGGGTGAACCCCCCGCCAAACTTCCCCTGTGGCCAGCGCCCCCCTTTTAAAACCCCACCGGCTCCACATGGTCTGTAGCCCATTATGAGCTCTCAACAGTCGAAACTCCAAAGACGTCATTTTAACAGCTCATTGTTTTCAACACCCACAACCTTAAACTCTGTAGACCCCGCACCCCTACCCCACCGCATCCTGTTCAAAACAACGCCGCAATCACAATCAGTTGTAAGCATATCAAAACTGGATTTTTCGGGCACCTTCTCAACAGCTAATTCCTGATTGGCCAACTTTATGAAGGAGGGATCATCAGCACACTTTGCAAATTATTTAAATTGAAGTAGAATATTTTGGTACATTTATTTTGAGCTTTGTAACAGTTTGTACATGAAAATATAGGAAAGCAAAATAGATGAAAATTCTTTATACAAATTACATCCTGGTTACATTGAATAAAGATGTAAAAAAAAAAAAGACTCATAAATCCCTCATAAAATGTGATGATCGCAATTCACAGTACTTCAGCATATAAAATTCCTCTGGCTAAATATATTCCCAAATATTTTTTTTATGCACACACACACACACACACACGTCCTATACTCTCCTCCCTCTTTATACATGTTTACATTCAACAAGTATTACAACAAACAAACAAAGACCATGGTGCAAATATTCGTAAAACTGAGGTGGCTTCGTTATCTATTTTTTAAACAACATCAATTATGTTTGTATTTATATTTGTTAAAAAAAGTGCTGCACACCAAATTGACAACAAACATGCTGATATTTGTTACGTTTTTGTTTGGAACCCCCCGTCAAAGAAGTGTTCCAAATTTGATCTAATCATCGATGATTCATCGAGGCAACCACTGGCTAAGCGGTATTTATTTAGTCTTAACTTAGATTTGCATTTTGGAACTGGCTAAGAGAAAGTGAACTATATCGCATTAGCGAATTATCAGAACGGAATTTTCCCGCCATGATTGACAAACCCATCATTCAGGAAAAAAAGGACGTAAGGAACGGATATGAAATGGTACAGGACAAACACGTGAGTGTCACATTCAACCTTTTTAAACTATTTACAATATTCACACACATTTACAGGACAAAGCGTGTATATCTCTCTCTCTCTCTATATATAGAGAGAGATCTCTCTCTCTCTCTATCTATATATATAGATAGAGATATATATCTATCTGTCTGTCTATCTATCTATATATAGATATATATAGATATAAGGACACTTATGACATTTGAATCTCATTTTCTTTTTTTCCCAGAACAAGAAGAGAAGACTGGTATCATTCTTCAGTAAGTTGGACAGGAAGATAGCGTAGTTAAGCTTTGCAGAGGTCAAACAGCTTGACTTTGTCAGACTGGTGACGTTTAGTGGGGAAAAGCTAATAAGGCTAACAATGCTAATGATCCGACTTTGAGTTATATCAACGTTTTTCTGTCATTTTTGAAAAAGTGAAACAAAGGAACTAACTACAGTAGATAAAACTTATGAAATAGGCCGTCATTTTGAATTGCAAAGAGTGTTTCATGTTTTTTTTTTTTTTTTTTTAAGTGGGGAAGCAAAGAATGCTAGTGATCTGACTCTGAGTGGTATCAAATGAAATTTTGTCCTCACCTGCTTTCTTTCCAAGAACGAGATGAGAAGATCAGAATCACTCAGGGTCGGGGACTGTTAGCCTAGCTTAACACAAAGGAAACTGTTTCGGCCAGGGGATTGCTAAAATGCTAATAATGCGAAGGATCCGACTGTGCAGTGCCCCCCTTTTCGTCTCATTCTGGGAAAAAAAGAAAATCTACAAACAACACCAGTTCATTGGATAAAAAAATAAAACGTCATAAATTTAGCTAGTTTAGCTTAGCTTCATACTCCTGTATCAAAGGCACTTGTTTACCATACGGCGAAAGAGGAAAGAAAGGCGTATAAAACTGTGTTGTCATCAGTATGTCTTCACATTTGTCTTTCACATTATTTGGCATTTTCAAACTTCTGTTTACATTCAAAACTGACAGCTTTTCTTTACATACCACCATTTTCAAGACCAGTAGTGGTTCTTCCGTTCCGATCACATCCTGCGTTACTGGATTAGCTTGCTAAAAACAAGTCTTTCTGTTCATGCTATGTGTTGACTAGCGATTTAGCATCAGCTATTTTTCACGTATACTAGGTTCCGAGTGGGCCTTAGTTGGACCAATTCCCTTTTGAGACTTTGTTAAAGTATGAATTTTTTTACGAGAATTACATTTTTCATGGCGCCCTGAAACGGCCGACTAAAACGAAAACAAAATAGCCATTGATTTCCTGTTCACTTGCATGTATCGTTGAAACGTTATACAGACATGGCCACCCAATTTCACATCCATTAGTGAGGATGGTGTGTACCCCCCACGGCTTTTTAATTTTTTACAGTCGGGTCTTCGCAGCCACTTCTTCACCTCCCACATTTGATGGCAATATCGCAAATTACTATCAGGAGGTTGTCAAAATCTGAGCCCTGGATTGCATCCTGAAATGTCTGTCTGACTTTCTGTTCGATAAATTTCATCATGGTGTCGGGTGCAAAACTCTTTGGACGTATAGCATGAACTCGGAGAAGGCCACAAGTCCCGCCTCGTTCAGGATGTGGTCCCGCCTTCCCGGATGTTACAGCACCCCGAGTTCTTTTAGTCTTTCGGACCCAGGCAGGAGGGCGGGAAGGGTCCGGCCTGGGTTTTTTCCATCCGCTATGCCGTGCTGCTACTGGAACAGGGTGTGCTCTGGGTGCTGCCGATGCTGTGGCCGGCGCTGCTGTTCTCTGAAGCAGGCGGACATTTTTGGACCTCCTTGGTCACCTCTTCCGTCGCTGCCACCGTAGCAGTCCCTCCTGGAAGCAACAACGGGAACACAGGATTAATAGATTCATGCGAATTTTAATCTCGCACAAATAACAACCAAGAAATGATGATCGACAATCAAAATTATTGAAAAAGAAATATTTATGTTAGCTTTAGCCAGGGAACAGGACCACTGTAGTTGACAAATTTAAAGTAATCTTAACCTCAGCAGTTTTAGCATGACCAGTCTTACGCATTAGCTTTAGCCAGCTATCACCAATATAGTGCACCTCCATTTTACATTCACAGATTTAGCTGAGTAGCACAACCATTCTACTTTACACAATTCGTGTCAATCAACAGTTATTATCTTTATCGGTGAAAAAGATCTTGTGTTATGTGGTTATCTCTAGCTTTAGCCAGCTAGCACGACCAAAGAGCATCTCTGTTTTTCATACACGGTTAGTCAGACAACCACACTGCACCTATTTTATATCCAAAAAGTGAGTGTTGTTATCATCATAATGATCCAGATCTCGGATCGCAGATGCTCCTCATGTAGTCAGAAGCAAACAGTAACTGACGTTAGCATGTGAGCGTCAGCCAGCGAGCAGGACATGGCATCCACTAGTGCTGCTATTAAACGCAAATGTTTTCATGACATCACCGCTGCGTGTTTGGACTGCTGGCCACATAGTCTAACAAAAAGTGTTTAAAAAAAAGAAAAACTTTGTTAAGCACTTAATGAGCAAAGTGTCAAACATTCAGCCTATTGAAAGCTGAAGACCTTGTATGGTGTCCAGCTGAGATGGGGTAAAAAAAAAAAAAAAAAAAAAATGAAGCATAAGGCGTTTATGTCTGGGAGGGGGGGATGCTCACTTGCTCTGTTTTGCTGCTTGAACACTCAGAAAGCCAGGATATTTTTAGGCGGGATCAATATTGCCTTGTAAGGTAATTTCACGCAAGATGAATGAAAAACTTTGTCTTCTTGCACCTGTGCCTTGTCCACAGTCACTGTTCCTAATTTATTGTCCCAGACTGGATGCTAGCTTTCCTTTTTTTTAAAAAAACTGTCCTATTCAACAGAGAGAAAAGAGGAAAAGAGAAGAGAAAACAACAACAGTAAAACTAAATCTCACAATGTCAAGAAGGTCGCAAATAAGATGAGATGGGACAGAACAGGACAAGGTGTGAAGACAAGGGCAAGCAGGACAAAAGCATGTGATGTTGGGATGTAGCAAGTAGTAAAGAGGAAGGGGTAGCATGCCAGGCAGTAAAACAAAATGTGAGGAAGCAGTAAATAGGACAGGATGGGAAAGGACAGGAGTCCTGAGCAAGGAACTAAACTCTTTCAGGAAGAAAATGATAGAACAGGATTGGACTTGAATGGCTTTGTAATCCAGACCACTGACCCATCAAGTTTTCCGAAAGTATTGAAGTGCATGCAAGAGAATTGTTCCCAAGTGAACGTTAACTTTTAAATGTTGTCAGTGTTGTGATAGAGCAACAGCCACGTGGGGACAGACCAATAGCATGAATTTAAAACACTTGGACAAACAGGGTTTCTGACCCATCGCAACGATATGGCACAGGACAGCACAGGACAGGTCAAATCTTTTTTTGTTTGTCATCCAAAACACTGATTTGAGTCAACTGGAGTCTCCCTCTCTGCCTGCGACCGTCATGAGAACAAGCGCGATTGCACTATCAACCTCTCCCTTCCTGGTCAAGGGTCCTGGGGGTGACACAGGAAGAAGGAAGATCTTGGCATGAAGAGCACAGATTGTAAGTTTTTTCCTGCAGGAGCTCACGCAATCCAAACGGGGGGAATTTCCATGCGAAGAATATCGCTGACAACATTCAAAGGCAGGAAAGACGAGCGGGCCCTCACCACCGCGTAACGGGAAGTCGTCGCGGTGCGTGTTATTGTGCGCCGCAGGATGTTTGGCCGCATTTCTGCCACTCCTCGCATTCCTTGCGCAAGCTTCTGTTTTCCTTAAGAGCACTCACCTGTGTGCGAGTAGATGAACCAAAGCGCTCCTGTCAGCAGAGCGCCGATGGCGAAGGCGGCGAAGGCGATCCCCACCACCGTCGGCGTGTCTAGTAGGTGCGCCGCCGTGTCTGGACAAACAAAATTGGATGAGTAAGAAATTTGGCTATCATCGCCTTTTTATGCAAGGTTGTCAATGCATGTGTGTGCACGTTCCACTTAAGTGTTTTAAAAAGACACTCACTTTTATTAGTGGGGTCATCAGGGCCTGCTTGTGATGGTGTATCTGGAAAACAGATATGTTTATTAATATATATGCAGTATATAAATATGACTTTTTAAAAAATATGTAGAAAATATCGTAAAACAAAGGATATGTTTATTAATATATATGCAGTATATAAATATATGACTTTTTAAAAAATATGTAAAAAATATCGTAAAACAAAAACAGGAAAATATACAAAAAAAAAACAATGTATTAAAATACCTGAATATTTATAAGACAGGAAAAAATACAAAATTATCTAAATACATAAATGTATCCAAAAACATAAAAAAATACAAAAAAATCGATACAAAATATAGTGAGAAATAAGTAAGTGAGAATAAAGTTGTCCAATGTGATCCGGTGAGCTAATGTTCTAACAGGCTGATATGCCCGCTGCTGATGAAGCTCTTCTCTTTGGAATGTGCTGTCGGGATCTTGAGCGATGAACCTCGGCGCTTTGGCCATGATGTGGCCTGGCGCGGGTCCAAGTTTCGCCAGAGCACAATGGCCTCTATTCTTAGACGTTGTGTTTTTCATTAGGCCAGAGAGATTACAGGTCATCACTGGAGGACGCCTTCGCTCACATCAACAGCACAACCCGGGTTATCTGTTCCCTGCAGCCTTGGAATGCGAGCCTCGCAAATGTCGATGTTCCAGTGTTCAACGGGCTGCATCGAGTCGGGTATGTCAAAAGGGCCATGTGCTTGTTTTTTGTGGGGGCGGGGGGTATGGATAGTCATCAAACTTTGCTGACATACTCCGCCCACTTGCACTGGCAAAATGAAAAAAAATAGTTTTGTCCATCTGTCTCGTATAGCTGGTTTGATTTTGGGAGCAATCAGACAAAATATCACGGCTAAGTTCATTTTTGAAGGGGCCCTTGAAAGGCCAAAGAGGACCCCACAAAGGCTACCTCAAACCAAAAACGCAGACCTCCTGTTTGTTTTCGTCCACGGTTTCTTGAGACTTTTTGGTGGGTCTACTCATGACACGCATGCTTCCCAAATGTCATGCTGTTAAGTCAAACTGGCTTTGGGGGGGGCTATATTTTCAAAAGTATTTCACAGGACAGGTTTGTGGTTCAAGGACTCCTGGAAATTACCAAATTGAGCCTAAAATGGCCGATTAGACGCAAAATGGCAGACTCCCCGTATATTTAAATCCATGGCTTCTTGAATTATTTTTTCATGGGCCTACTCATGAGAGACGTGCTTCCCAAATTTCATGCTCCAAAGTGATTTGCTTTGGGGGCTGAAGATTTATTTTATTTTTATTTGGGTTATCATGTTGTTGTAAATATTCCGACATTTCGCAAGTTCCTGACGGCACTGTATGATCATCTTGGTATGCGACTTGTGATTGGAGGAGAACCAGGAAGTGAGCGCTACACTGTCATCGGACATCTCTCTGCGCCGGTGGGGACTAAAGCCTGGCACAATGGGGGCCCTTTTTCCAGCTAGCTTAGCGACATGCTCACCACCGCGTCTTGCCGCGTGCTCCCCAGGAATGAAACGCCGGCCCGTCCAACGTCAACACTGGCACTACCGCTCCGAGACGGCAGAAAAATACAAATGTCGTAAATTCGCCAATGTCGGTAGGCGACGTTCCTCCGGGTTTCTGCTCACGCTACGAGACTTCCTTCATGGAAACCTTGGCGACTAACACGTCGTATAATTAGAATTTTTTTTATCCAGTCTACAAGAGAGCAAGAAACTGAAAGACATTCGGCTACCTTTGGCAAACGTAGCAACGGCTAAAGCTCACGTCAATACATCTCACTGCAATTTGTAAAAATTTTTAGAGGATTGGTTTCCAGCGTCAGATCGAGTGCCTTAATGACTGGGGGTTCTATCCAAGACCGCTAGACTAAAGATGGGTGAAAGTAAAGTCGCAGTAGTGGAGTAAAGCAGAGCAAACCAGCGTAAAGCGAAGCAAAGTAGAGTAAAACCAGCAGAGTGAGTTGAAGCAAATAAAGCAGACTCAAGGAGAGCAATTGTAAAGCAGGTTAAAGGAGAGGAAAATTGAGAATTACAGAATGGCAAGTGAAGTAAAGAAAAAAAGCAGAGTCAAGTTGCGTGAAGTAAAGCAAAAGTGAACCAACGTAGAGTAAAATAAAAGTAAAGCAAAGTTATGTAATGCTAAAGTAGCTGAATAAAGGGAGCGTGAAATAAAGCAAAGTCAGGTCTCGTGAAGTAAAGCCAACTAAAGTAGCGTCAAGCAATGTAAAATAATGGCAAAGCATTAAAGCAAAGCAAAGCAAAATTTATGCCGATCCAAGTAAAAAGTCGAGCAAAGCAAAGTAAATGTCAGGACAAAAAAAAAAAAAAAAAAAAAAAAAGTTACGCGCAAAATAGTGTGAAGAAGATAAATGTAGGGTTGAGTCAGTGGTGGTGGTGGGGGGTGGAGGGTGCTCGTGACATCATCGTATGGACACCTCCAAAAGGTGATGGCTGTTACATGAAGTGTGTGTGTGTGTGTGTGTGTGTGTGCGCGAGAGGGGTGGGGGTCAGGATTATCCCCTGACGGAGTTGGATGACTGGCTAAATAAGGAGTGATCTTCAAGGACTAACGCGCACACTCTCACCGCGTGCACACACTGGAGTGGATGGGTGAGGGGGGATTTTTTTGCCGAAGCCGCTAAGTGAAAACAACTGGAGCTTAGTGCTCGTATGACTCCTTTTTCCAGCTCTCCCTCATCGTGAGCCAGCAGCCAAAAGCTGGGCCTCAGCCACACACACACACACACACACACACACACACACACACACACACACACACACACACACACACACACACACACACGCACACACACGCGCGTTTGTGTACAACTGGTTGATGTAAACAGGCAGATGATGACACGTAATGAGGAGCAGATGTACGGGAGGTGACGTTCGCCGACGTGTGACTTCACTTCTGACTTCACACTGAGCTTATCACTCACACACTGCACAACAGCCGCACGCGTACGGGAGATTCGACCGCCTATGAAAGCAGCGGTAGGTAATTAAACATAGAATAACTGTCCGGCTGTAAATTTCACTGACATATGGATTCTGCCCTGTGAATAAGGGACAGTCAAATACAGTCAAGCAGAGTAAAAACAGAGGAGTGAAGCAATGCGTGTTAAGCAATGCAAAGCAGTAAAAATACAGCAAAAGTATACGTGCAGACCAGACCAGAGTAAAGTGAAAGAACAGTAAAGTAAAAGCAACGTAGTTTGGCGTAAAAGTACAATCAGGCGAGAGTAGAAGCAAAGAAGCGTAAAGTAAAGGTAGTGTCAACAAGACAAGATAGAAGTCAAGCAAAGTAGCGTGAAGTAAAAGTACAGTAAAGTAACGGCTTCAAGTAAAAGTACAGTAAAACCAAGTGAAGTGTGAAAGCAGAGTAAAACAAAGTCAAGAAAATTAAATCAGCGCGAAGCAAAAATGCATTCAAGTAAAAGTAGGATTAAAGGAGCACGGAGTAAAATAAAGCAAAGTAAAAGCAGAGTAGAGGGCGGTAAATCAGACTGGAGTAAAGTCAACTAAAAGTCAACATATAAGTACAAGTGGACAAAAGCCGAGGAAAGTAGCCCAAAGTGAAGCAGCTGTAGAGTGAGGCAGACTTCAGGAAAAGTACAAGAAAGCAAAGTTAAAAAGTACAAGTGCAGTCATTAAGCAACGCATAAAGTCACAAAGTACAGTAAGGCAAGAGTAAAAGTATCCTAAGCAGAATAAAGTAAATGTAGAGTAGCCGAGAGCCAAGTATCGGGAAGGGAAGCCAAATAAAGAAAGCCAAAGTCAAGTCACGGGCTACAAAATGTACTTTTACTTTCCACATGTACCGAAAAGCACTTGGTGCAAGTGTAAAGTTCAAAAGCTAAAGACTTTCAAAGGAGCTTCGAGTAAACCTTTTGTACAGGAATACCTTTTGAAATCATCACAACAACCCCTCCAAATAGCACCCCGGACGGCGCTCCTGTCGCGTTAGCATCCTGACCTGTCACGCGGGGTGCGTGGTTCCCGTCCAGGACCAGCAGAGCTTTGCTGCTGGTCCTGGCGTTCATCATCATGTTCAGGATGTCTTCTACTTTCAAGGAGTCGCACGCCCAGCTTGCGTCCACGCACTGACCAAAAGCACAAAAAACAACAACGGGAAAAGAGTTGACAATCAAACCGGAGCTTCGGGAGTAACCCCTTTCACACGGGCACTGCCGTTTACGGAGAAACTTGACATTCGAAGCCAACCAACCAATACAATGTTTTACCACCGGGGGGCGTCAGGGAGCGTACCGGTGCTAGTTGAGGATTGGTGTCTGCGCACGGCGCCATCTTGCAGTGCAGGAAGAGCCGCGACGCGTTCAAGTCGGACTTGAAGGTGAAGCTGAAGCTCTTCTTGTCCTTCTGCGCGTGTTGACGGAAGCGCAGCGAGTCGTCGGTGGGACAAACTGTCTCGATGAGCGCGTAGGGCGACTCCACTTTGGGGTTGGCGTCGGGCGAAACGAAGCACGACAGGATGTTGAAGCCCACGTCGGCGTCGTCTGACGTTGACGTGATCTGAAAAACGTCAAATATTTGTATCCCATTCACTTATCGTCTTGCCTAGGTGCTGCGGGTTGTCCCGCCGGATCTTCCTCGGATAAAAATTAGAGCTTCAAGTTGAAAATGTCAGAGCATAACTTTTCCCCACAATTTCAATCTGATCGTCTCTGAACTTGGTACACTCAAGGCCAGCAAAGGCCCCGGTGAACTCTTCAGAGAGTCGCGTTGAAGCGAAAAGAGCTCAAGAAACAAAAGAGGTCCTTTTCCTGCGAGCGCACCTTGCGTGCTCGGGGTCGGCTCTCAGCATGGTGCCACTTCTGACGGCGAAGAAGCTGGCGGCGAACACACAGGGATCTTTTGTTGGCTCTCGCTGATAGCGTCATGAATCGCTGCTTCAAAAGGCCAGCGTGTGCCACCTCTCCCTTGACCTTCTCCAAGTAAATATTTGCGTGGATACAAGAAAGTGAACCGATGAAGCGGTGGTGGCCAAGTCCGAATACTTAGTTACTGCACTTCAGATGATTTTTCAAGTGATCAGTTACTTGGCTTGAAGCACTTCGAATGAACTTCACTTGGTTCGAACTTTTTGCTCGGGTCGCGAGACAAGCGAATGTTGAGAAGAAAAAGCAGATGATGTCTTTTGAGTTAATACACATGAACCCGTGTTGTTGACTTGGTGATACGAGCAAAGTAGTTCGACCATATGTGCTATGTTGGACCCCTGCTATTTGTGGGGGAGAGAGACCACAACATTTCTGAATGATTCATGCTCATGATAATTGCCTTGATTTTTTTTTCACTGTTTTTTCCCAGGGAGAAAAAAAAAAGGGACTATGTCAAAAAAATGTATCAAGAATCATGTTATGAGAAAAAAAAGGTTGGTGTTTTGGTGAGACGGGAATGGATTCATGGCACTTCCAATCATTTCAATTGGCAATGTTGATTTGAATAGGGTCCAGCAACCCCGCCCCCCTGCGACCCTTGTGAGGATAAAGCGGATTGGAAAATGGATGGAATAATTTATATTTTGGATTCGCATTAACCACCTCCTCAGGGAGGGAGAAAGTGACCCCGGCGAGAAAAGAGATGTGCACAAACCTCCACGAAAACCCGCTGGTTGTGCAAGACGGTGTTGAAGGCCTGGCGGGACGGCTGGTTGGTGGGCGGCGCGTCGTACAGATCCATGCTAAATGTTAAGTTGACGGGTCGGACCGCACCGCTTTCCGGGACCTTCTTGGGCGCCGCCCCCGGGATTTTCTTGCTTTCCCGTCGGTACGTGCAGTTGAACTGGGAGGAGACAAGACAAACATCAGATCAGATTGTGTTGATCCAACAAGATACTTGAGCAACAACATTCTTTAAGTTCCCGAGAAAAGGTAAACATGACCCAAAAATTGTCACTTTGACCCAAAATGCCCAACTTTCCATGCCTTTTGAGGATCCCAAAAATGATCAAAAGGACCCCAAAAATGGCCACTTGAAACCGACATCTCTCAATTCTTGTGTCTCTTACGCCCGGCGGCTTCCTCCGACTTTTTTGTGGGTCTGCTCATAATCGTCATGCCTACTTAATTTCATGTTGTTAAGTGAAACAGTTTTTTGTGGCTGAATAATCCAAACCATCCAGAGGACAAATTCACACCCTTGAAAGACCCCTGAAAATGACTAAATTGAGCCTAAAACGGCTGCTTCAAATGCAAAATGCACGACTAGGCATAACTTTCATGTCGCTCTAACTCTATTTTCTCCCCCCAAATTTTTGTCCAAAATATTCTCGTGGGGTGTCTTCAAGTCAATCTTGTTTACCACTATAGGAGGACATTTACATGGCCTAAGACTAATAACAACCCGTAAACACAAAGTGAGAGCACAGAGTTGTTGTTGAGGGGTCTAATACCGTTACGCTTGACAGCTGATCTCTGGGCGGGAATCTTTCCAGGTCCAAAGTCCCTCTGGGGAAGAGGACTTCTCCTGATTCCTGGTCCTCGTACTCCAGCGGCCCGCCGCTCCCATCCTTTGACTCGCTGTGACTTATCAGGACCTGACAGAAAGAAAAAAAAAATGTATAGCCTCTATTAGCCTGGTGAGCCTTCAATCAGTCAAAACTATCCAGCTATCCATCCATCTATTCATTTTCCCCTGCTTATCTGGGGTCGGGTCAGTCAAAAACTGAAATAAAAATAAACTGATGATAAATGAGCATCACACACGAGCCGCATTGAGGAATTTGTCAGCTTCCTGTTGCACTGAACGCCCCCAGAGGAGGTCATGTGGGATCCACGGAGTGACAATTCATCTCTTTTGGAGCAGGGTTCAAAGTTCATCCCGGCGCTACACAAAAGCGACACTTGGACGCAAGCCCAGATTGTTAAAATTGCAGTCAGACAGGCGACGGACGGCGAGCAGGATGAGCAAACAGATAACAGAGGTCAAACCTCGCAAACCTCGTAAACACACAAGAGTTCATGATACATCCTAAGATGAGTTTCTTGAAAGCAAAGATCCTTCAAAAAGTGCACATTTTCAAATATAACATGAATTCTGGATTCTAAAAAGATAACTTTTTACTCCTAATTCATTTTCTTGGATTTTTTTTTCATAAAAAACAATAATAAAAGTTTTTATAAAGACATTTTTTTCAAAACAAAACTCTTTTTACTCCTAATTCATTTTCTTGGATTTTTTTTCATAAAAAACTATAATAAAAGTTTTTATAAAGACAATTTTTTTCAAAACAACCCCCCCCCCATAAAATTATGACTTTATTCTCACAGGATCACAAATTCAAAACAAAACGTTTTCATCTGACTTTTCCTCCCCTAAAATCTTGGAAAAAACATTGTTTTGACAAAGTCGTGACAATTCTCAAAAGATGACATTTTAAAATGAAAATCCAACAAATAAATAAAAGGTAAAAGGTAGCATGACTTTTCCTCAAAAGATGACATTTTAAAATGAAAATCCAACAATTTTTTACAACAATAAATAAAAGGTAAAAGGTCGCATGACTTTTACCCAGGAGTCAGCTGACCTTCTTCTCATAAATGTATTGAATAAACAACCAAAAGCAAACTCACGGTGTTGATGTGAAGGGCGTTGGACGTTCCCAGCAGGGGGTACACGGTGGTCTGGCACCCGTTGAGCGGCGTCTCCAATGTGTAGTGGGTGGCGTTGACCACCGCTTTGCATTGTGGGTCTTGAAGCGTCAGGTTGGCGTGCGCAAATCCATTGGCCTAATTGCATGACAACAACAATTGGCAATTTTTTTTTTCGGGACATTTCCCGAATAAAGAGTCCAGTGACGTTCCAGAATGGGACCGGGAGGTCGGAGCGGCGCGTAGAGACCCCGCCGCGTCCGCCGGGGGGCGGCCCGGAATCCCGTAGGATGGACAGCTCCGGGGGTAGCATGCTCTGCGGTAAGTCCGACACGTCTGGAAACGCAAGTTTAATTTGTTTCATCACTTCATTGAAATGATTTGACATCCTGTAAGTGCCAGCCGACACGGGCGAAAAGAATGGGAACGGCAGGTCGGAGCGGCGCGTAGAGACCCCGCCGCGTCCGCCGGGGGGCGGCCCGGAATCCCGTAGGATGGACAGCTCCGGGGGTAGCATGCTCTGCGGTAAGTCCGACACGTCTGGAATGCAAGTTTAATTCGTTTCATCACTTCGTTGAAATGATTTGACATGCTGTAAGTCAGTTCGAGCCAACTGCTGCATGCTCCTTGCAAGAGTTGTCATTTTATATTGCTCAAGAAACACAAAGTAAAAAACCCCAAAAACTCTAATGTACCATTTTCAGAAATCGAATGTATTATACAAATCTAATGTATCATATTAAATTTTCTGCATGCACCATATTTACATATTTGATTATCCATAAAACTGGAATGTACATATCTAAGGTTCAATAGAAATCAAACGTATATTTATCGTTTGATACAACTTAAATGTATATATTTAAAAGTAAAAAAAAAAGAAAAAAAAAGAAAAAAAAAGAATCGAACGTTCAATACAACTAATGTTCCATATTCAGAAATCTAATCTCTTCTTATACAAATCTAATGCATCATATTAAATGTTCTACACGCACCATATTTACATATTTGATGATCTATAAAACTCTAATGTACAAATCTAAAGTTCAATAGAATCGTTCGATACAACTTAAATTAATCGATTTCATACATTTTTAACCTTATGAGGCCAGGATCCAATTTGTTACCTTGCGGTTTGAGCCACACGTTGAAGTGGTTGGCCACGGGCGTGTTGGTGTAGGTGGTGACTGGGCCGTAGTGGTGCTCCTCGGCCCACTGGATCAGCGCTTGCGGCCCGGACGGTAAGCGCTGCTTGGGGGATTTGGACACTTGCATCAGCCTCTCCGTACCTGAACTGATGCTGATACTGTCAGAAGCCTGCGTGGCGAAAAAAGATTTTTTTTTCTCCTTACATTCCACTCAGCATTTTTTTCCCCCACCTCCAATTTCAGGTTGTTTCCTCCCATGGAAATGAATTAAAGTGCCATTAATTCGTTCCAGCCCCTTAATGTATGTAAAAGAGAATGCAAAGTAAACAAGTGGTGTGATAAAGTCCAATTACTATTTATACGGTCATATTCATTCATGTCCTAGCGAGTGCCGTCATGAGCTGGAGTCTGGTTGGCTGCTTCGTCTGCGTGTGAGTATCTGAGTGTGAGTCGTGGCCTACAGCAGTTTTTTGTTTTGCATGTTTTGTTCATGTGGATTTGTGTGTTGGCCTTTCTCATTTAATGAATGGCAGGATGCGCATCGGCAAGTTTTAATGAGGGTGGGCTTCTCACCACAACAATGAGCTTGCCCACCACATTGTGGGACTTGATGACCCAGTTGACCGACTTGATACATTTGAGCAGCAGGACCACGTCACGGTGGAGCGGGGCGTCGTCCTCCAGTGGACGTAGCTCCACAATCACCTCCACCTGGAAAGCACTAGACAACCACGGGGCGCTCTATCATGAAATTGTGCTACATCAATCTAATGGAGCAACTGACAACTTTTTTTTGAGTCTGGACACTTCTAAACTAGCAGAGTTGATGGTCTATACAACCTTAATGGCACATATAATCTAAATAGTTTGTGTATACATGTCTAATGTACCATTGTTTTCCATCATTATGGATATTTTCTATTCATATTTAATGCACCATAATTACATGATGAATGTTCTAATCGACTGTACGTCTCGGCATCCAGCATGTACAGTCGATGTGTTTGGTGTGCTCACCTGCTGGAATTGGGTGCCTGGAGCTCTACGACGTGGACCTCCTGGTCGTGCTGGGACGCGGAGAGGACGCAACCTTTGGAGGCTTGAGGCTCTACGTAGCCGCCGAGGTAGTTCAAGGACAGGAACTTGTTGTCGATCTTGCACGTGTTGGAGAAGAGAGGATCTGAGAAAAGAGATGTTGCTTAGTCCATGTTCACGCTCTATCCGTGTGAGTGTATTTACGTGTGTGTGTTTCCGTGTGTGTGTGTGTGTCTTTGCAGAGGTTTTTTTTTTTTTTCGGGTCGGAAGGAGCAAGGATAGCATCTGGTACATATTTGGTCCTCTCCACTTTTTCTCCAGGTTGAAATTCGACCAGGACAGCCCAAGCTTTGGTTTGACGTGAAGCGCTAAAGACAACAAATCTTGTTGTGTTTTCAGCATCAAAGAGCGGCTGAAGAGAGCATGAAGGGTTTGAACTCCTTCTCGGTGCAGTGAGATGAACGATTCCTTATTTGGCAAAATAAACCTTGTGTGAATTTACCGTTTCGTCTTGTGACTAAAATGAGGCATAGATGCCCATGTTGAAGCAATACTCCCGAGCTTTATGGTGACGATCCCTCCAAGCGCAATGACGAAAACCTGAATTATTTACAATGTAGCATTGATCATCTGTTGAGTGTACATGGTTCAAATTTCGTCGCAGGTAAACAAAATGTACAGAGTGGGTTCCTCTTTTAAAAGACCCCTGGAGATGGCAAAAATGATCCTATAATGGCTGCTTCAAACCAAAATGGATAACGTCTCTTGAGTCTTGGCTTCTGAGACTTTTTTGTGGGTCTTCTTCTTATAGATATGCCTACAAAATTTTATGCTGCTAAGTAAAAGTAGCTTTGGGAGGTGAATTTAAAAAACAAACAAACAAAAAACAATGGGACAAATTCATCTTTGTAGTCACCTTGCAAATGTCCACTTCAAACCAAAATGTGTGTCCTGTGCCTTTTTTTAGTGCATGGCTTCCCAAAACTTTTTGAGTGTCTTCTCAAGATAGATATTCCTACCAAATTTCATGTCGCTAAGTGAAGCTGGTTTTGGGGGCTGAATGGAAGAAAAAATTAAAAAGCGCTTGATTACATAAGTTTGTCCTTCAAACCAAAATGGCTGACCTCCTTTGCCCTTTGGCTTCTTCAGAATTTTTGTGGGCCTAGTCAGGACGGACACAAACCTAAATTTCATGCTGCTAAATCAAATTGGCTGACATTATTTTTTTAACCACTTCAAACCAAAATGTCTACCTACTTTGACCTCGCAGGCATGGCTTTTTAAAACGTTTTTTTTTTGTGGGTCTACTCACGGTAGACATGCCGATCAAACTTCACACAGCATGCCACGGCCTTCAAAAAAAGAACTTCAGGAAGCCTGCAGGCATGCGTTGCGGAATGTTGGGAATTTCACCTTCTCCGACTTTGATGTAGATATCTTGAGTCATCCTGAGCTCGGAGAAGGAGGTGACGGCCCCGTACATCTTCTGTGCCCAGCCGAGGAGGTGCTCGTTGCCGTGGGGAAGCAGCAGCTCCTTTTGGACCTGACAGGAGAGTGAGAAGTTTCCCGGCTGGAAGCGAACCTCCGAGCCCATGGGTACCTGAAGGTGGGAAGAAAACACACATCGTGTTACAGGTACCACAAATACTTCAGTCAATATGAACACAGGGGGAGCTTAAAAATAAAGCACTGTGAACTTTTCGGATGCACAAAAAAAAAAAAAAATCCTGCACGGAGTAAAAACAAACCGACCCCCCCCAAATAACAAAACAAGCAGCGGTTTCAGAAATAACATGATGGAAACATTCACTCTGTCATTTATTGGAGCCGGGCCTGGCCGCGTTTCATTTGATCGAGATAAACATCGTTCATTTGTTCAAACATCACTCTCCAAGCAGCCCGCTGCATCCTTTTCATCTCGCAGCGAGCCAGCGTCACATTCCGAGAAGACAAACACAACGGGGATGAGACATCTCCCTTGGAAGTCTCTCTTTGAGATTGCTTACATCCTGCTAAGACTTGAAATTGCTTCAACCTGCAATTGTTTACAAAATACACCGATTGGGCTTGATATTGACACAACTACATCGACTGTATGTCGTGTTCAATCAAATCTCTTTGATGGTCTTTGATGTTTCCAAGGCAGGTACGAAACGTCACGTTCATCAAATGCCGTTTACAAACCATGCACAGTGTGATGTCGTAGATTGTCTTTGGCGTTTTGGGGAAAAAAGATGCATGTTGAGTTCATCCACTGAAGTTGTCTTTGATGTTTACAAAGTATAGACTTATCCAAGACGAAGTGATGTTTGTCAAATTCACATGTTAAGATTCATCTTATTCTTTACTTTTACTTTGAGGTTCAAAAAAAATGTGTACAGTACGTTAATCGAAGACTCATACTGTCTTTGAGGTTTACAAAATAGAGAGGAACCCACCTGAGTTCGTCTTTGATGTTTTCGAAAAATACAGAAATATGCGTTGTATCCATATAAAACTCTAAATTACTTTATTTGCTTACTAGAAAGTTCATACATGTCATATTTGGGAGAATGTTAAGTTGTCTTTGATGTTTACAAAAACATGCAAATGAGCTTCGACCAACAATCGCCCTTGACGTTTACAAAATATGTTTGACGTTTGGTCCGACACGCGCCGCCGTCTGGTAATGATTAAAAACGCATCAGGTATGATGGAAATGTTTAACGTGCGTCTGGTGCGTCTGCGCTAAACCATTCCGAGTTTATCAGTTAATTTGAGGGAATAAGGCTGTAATTAGTTGGAATTAAAGTGGGAGGGGGGGTCGAGGGGGCCAAATGAACGCCAAATCAGCCGCAGGCTTTTCCAACCTCAGGAATTTGATGTAGCAAAGCCAAGGAAGTATTTTACACACATTCCCTCATTCGCTCTCGCTTTTGGCCACTGAAGGCCCAGCCGACGGACTAATGGGACCCGAAATGCTGGGAAGCGCGGCGGGCAAACTTACGGTTAGTTGCACTTGAGTAAGCTTCATAAATGGGCTCTACTGTACGATCGAGCGCCATGTTGATACAAGCAATAATGACTTACAACGATTAAAAATGGCAGCACGGTGGAAAAAGCGCATAGCACTCGCAGAGGGGTCAGGGTTTGAATCTTGGACCAGTGCAACTGATTTTCATTGTCACTGATGCTTGAAAAATATTGAAATATCAAAGACAAACGTCAATATTTTTAAGTGACCAATCGAACCGATTTCATTGTCGCTGATGTTTGAAAAATATTGAAACATCAAAGACCAGCTTGAATGCTTTTTACATTTTCAAGTCTTCGATAGACGTAAATGCATTTTTGACAATTTAACAGTCTTGGTTCAATGTGTTTTGTCAAAATTTTTGGATGAACCAAATAAAGAAATAAATTTGATGAACCTAATGTAGATAAAGTACATAGGACTATTAAATAATAATAACCTAGGTTATGTCTTATAGTGTACATGTCAAAGAAAATTAGGGCAGCATGTAATCATTTTAATTGATTAATCTGTTGAATAACCGATTAATTGGATTAAAAATAAATAAATAATTTACACATGTTCACAACAACAATTTACATTTTCCGATCAATGTCAGTGACAATGTAAAATTTTCGATGACCTGTACCTATTTCGGTAAACAGAAAATGGAGTGTTTGATGAACCTAAGCGATGCATTATTGAAGAACCAAACGTGCATATTTGTAAAGAACAATGGCGAATTGTTTGGAAATTGTCTTTGAAGGGAACAAAACCCGTTACTCCGCATAAATGCACCCCCAAAAAGCGACACGCTACGCAATGGCAGATGAACGCTAGCACGCGAATCGAATCCGACTGCAGACGGAACACAAAGCCATGTGTTCCAGTATTAACGAACGCTGTCTCCAATAAAAACCTGAACGCGTCTGTGTTGCATTATTTCCATCATTACAACGACAGCAAATCCAAGAGGCCGACCAAACCAAACGTCTTGGCCGACAAACAATGAGCAGCGCGAGCCAGCGGTGAAAAATAAATAAAATAAAATGGCAAGAGTTTATTCCATCAAGACTCTCAACCTCCTCCCACCTCAACGCAACAAAGGAGTCGGCCGCACAAGTCAACAAGGCCGGCGCGTCCCCGGAGAGAAACAATCGCTGGGTTGGTGTCAGCGCTCGCTGATTGACGGCCAGTGTCGGAGAGGACGTGTTTTACAACAAAAGCCCCACTTGGGCCTGTTTTTCAAGAAAGTGAAAAACACAGAGCGACGTGGCCAACAGCAACAGCGCCGGCCTGTGAAGCGTTTCCAAAGGCGTTCGAATGAGCGCCCGCCGAACTGGATGCCGATTTATTTTATTTTATTTTATTTTTTGAAACGATGGTTCGATGGGACATGAGTGAAAAATCCACTCCTGTGTCACCCTCTAGTGGCCATCTGGAATATGTCTGTAATTTCCCGACCGACCGGAGTATTTCCTGGCCCGTCGAACTGCCTGACAGCTGCCAGTCAGCTCTGCCCCTCCCCTATTTTAATTGCTGTCAAAAGATTTGAGAAGCAGAGAGCTCACGAGTGACAAGCCGTCTCGTCGCGTTCACGTTGAAGCGGTGTTAGAAATGCACATGTGCGTAATTAGCTTTTTTTTTCACACTTCCCCCGCAGACGTCATGAAATGGTTAAATCATGAAATAGCGCTGCGGGCTGCGCTTGTGTAAGAATCTCGAAGGATGTGTCACAGCCACAAGAAGCCAAGAAGACGTCAAGCATCTGGGATCCGTTGTTTCTTTTCACTGGCAAACAATGTGTGAGTCATCATCGTTAGCGACTCATCACCATGCAATTTTTTTTTTTAAATTCAAATAAACATCTCAAGCGTGGCAACTGTAACCCGAAGTCAAACGAGACGGAGACAACAGTTTAAAACGGCAAGATAGCCGTTTGCGCCTCTCCAAGACGGCCGTCAGCTGCGTTGCGTCCGTCATCGCTGCCGATTCGGCGTCGACGCCTGAACGATAGCCGGCTGGTCGCGCCGCAGAAATACGCTGACGCTTGCGAGCGCGGCAGCAGATGAGTAACAGCTTTCATCTGTTTCGAACGCAGCCACATACTTTAAACTTTATTTTTTTTACAAAAGAAAAAAAAAACTGCAATATGACACATCTGTGAATTTTTGGGGGGGAATTGGTTTATGTTCTTTGAAATGTAAAATTTAAATTGGAAAGCAATTATCTCAATTGGGCACTACTAAGGGTCTTTTTTTTTTTTTTTAAAGAAATAATTGGTTCAGGCAGATTGATGGGGAATATTTTAACACTACAAAAGAAACAACCCCCCCACCGAATACAATTTATTAAATCTCTCTGGCTTCATGTTTCTTGCTAAGATGCCAAAATTGCAAATGGTCTTAAAAACGGTGCGATTTTGCAAGCATTTTTTTTGTTTCCAATCCCCCTTTTAAAATAAATGTTCGGATACTTGAACATACATGGTGGCCTCTGCTTTCCAAATTAGTTATTGATCCATTTGTTGTGTTAATGTAATACGAGGCGATCATAAACATTTATTTGGTTTCACAGTCATAACGGCCCTCAGGAGGAAAACCTGAACGACGATTTGGCGTTGAGTTTGACACGCCTGCTTTACAGTAACGTCATATGCACTAAAAATGGAAAAAAAGGAAGACAAGAACGGGGGACGAGATGAGTGGCCATCTTTGGCGAAGCTAAACTCACGTGAAAGGTGCGCCTGACGCCCGGGGCGAGGCTCTCGGTCTTCACCTTCCACACCAGTGCCTCCGGGGAGTTGAGGACCAGGACCAGCGGCTTCTGGTGGCGCAGCAGAGACTGGATGGGCTTCAGGTGCAGCTCCACCTACAGGGCGCAACACACACACACACACCAAATCGGCTCATCAGGCTCGTTTGGAGTTGATTTGTGCTGATGCAGTGGGATTTGCTTTGTTTGTGTTGTCAGTTTGCCAGCGTGTTCGCTCCACTGCAGCGTTCATGTTTTGTTTTGTTTTGTTTTGATTTTGATACTCCCAAGGCGTTTTTCACAGTCGCCTTGTGAGATGAGAAAAACAAAGGGCCATCACAAGTGGCCGTTACGTAATTTGTGCGCCTTGTGCTGGCCATTCTATTCTTTCTAATACTGCTTGTTCTACTTCTATAAAGACTGTCACGCTGAAACTCCGAAATGCAGTACGACATAGTTCTCAGTCTTTTTAGCCATTAAGTATTTTTTTTTTTGCAAACAAATCTCTGAATTCACTTTGCAGGGTCTTAAAATATTGGCAGCAGGACAATTAATTGTGACAGGGCTGCATTACTTCTATTTACATTTTTTGCGATGGGATTTTTGATTTTGATTTTTGTGAACGTTCGATTTATGAAATATACGACTTTTGTTTTGTTTTCTGACACGCACTTCACTGAGTCACGTGACCAGAAAACGAGGCAATTAAAGTCTAATTATCAGCACAAAAAGCCCCCAAAATAATCAGTAAAAGTTCCAGTGAGGGGAAAATAAACATCACAACTATCTAACCGAGACAGGCTCCAAACAAACAAGATAAGAAAGTTGATGCTTTGTGTGTGTGTATGTGTGTGTGTGCGCGTACATATTTTGAACACCCCCCTTCCCCCTCTTGCCCGGTGCCGACGGTGGAAAAACCCTCTCATTGGTCCTCGGAGAGCAACAACAAAAGCAAACAACAAGCGTCAGATAGCATCGGCAAGCAAGAGAGAGCAGATGAAAAGTTTGGGAGGCGCAGACAGAAAAAGCAGAGATGTGAATCACCTGAATGACATCAACAAAAGAGCCAAGAGAAGCCATTGTGTGTCGCAAGTGGAGCTACAAATGACCGCAGATTGCCAGGAGGCGGCTCACTTGATCGCACCGAACGTTATGCGCAGCTAACACGCACAAAAAAACAAAACAACAACAAAAAAAGAAAAACGCTGTACATTTTGTTTACGGCAGTAAAGCACATATATGGGGCAGAAGGACAGTTAGCGCAAAGCAGAGTTTACCAAACAACACATGGACAGCTATGCCTTGGCACGCTTTTATGTTGGAGTTGACTCATCTTCCTGACTAAAGTTGGGCCATTTTACATTACTGTGACATCAACAAAACATCCTGAAATCATGTTCAATCACTAATTAAGGATGCCGAAACGAAAAACGTATTCATGACACTAACATTGACACACGCCAGCTGCCAGCGTAGCTAGTGGCTAGTAGCTAGCCGCTAAGCGAATGCCCCACGGCAAGAACCATCCGACCACTTTTTAGATTCAGACTCAAATGCACCGCACACTTAAAAGTCCAAATGGAAAAGTCCTTTCCTCACAAAAAGTTGTCAAATACCAGCTGAGAGTTGTAAGGGGCAAAAACAGGATGTAGGAACCCACCGCTGCTTTTCAATGTTATACTTTTAATTAAGTGAAGCACATTCTGTACCTTCTGAACCAAATGCGCTATTTAAAAATCAAGCCGCTTTGCCAAGAATAAATGCAGTTGCATGACTCAATATTTCATAACCTCAAATGGACCAACCACTCCGGTCCCACCAAATCCAAATCCTTTGTTCACAAGAAAACTGAACTACAACTAAACATGGCCAACAGCTGGGGAGCATCTGCCATCGCCGCTATCAGGACTTCCAAGTTCCCGCCCACAGAAGCTTCAGCCGCCTGATTGGTCGCAATGGCGTAAACGAGCAGGGGGACTTTGAGGCTTGTGCGTGGGGTCGCTTCGAGACCGATCGCGTTACGCAGATTGAAATTCCTCACGGGGGGCGACGACAGCTGTGAGCCGGATAATCAGCTCACTCCGTATCCCGCCAGTGGCGATGGCATGTTGTAAACACAATTCACACCCCTTTCGCACCGAGACTTTACGAAATAACTTGATCCCTAGTCGCCTCGTTCACACACACATCCCGCAGGATCGGCGTCGCACTCATGCAAGGGACGCACTGGTGTGAGATGCTAACATAAAGCTAATGTAGATAGAGTGCGCTCGTTTTGTTGAACATCACAAAAAGATGAACGTAAATGTTCTGCCGCATCGACGCAAGATCCAAAGTAATTTTGCAACTTCTTGTTGCGGCGGCAGCTCATATGCTGCGTACTGTAAACGGCCTGTGGGAAGAGGGAGTTCGCCCCTATCGGCAACTCTAATTAAGTGCCTGATGATTGAGTGGAGGGGGGGAGAGAAAAAAATCCAAACATACTTTAATTAGCCACCAGAGGATAAATGAAGCGAGGATGAAAAAATAAGGAGGGTGAGAAACGTCAAACCGCTTTTGATCAACGGAGAGGAGATGCTACCCCCAAAATGTTTTGAAAGCCCCAAACTATGATCCCAAAACGCTTCATTATCATTTTAAACATACTTGACAGCATTGCCCTTGAAAATAAATTTGTTTGAAGATTAATTGAGTTGTGAAAAATAAAAAAAAACTGCAGGAGGATGCAAGTGTAAATTAGCCAACATTTTCAGTCACGTATTAGCACCCTTGGATTCACTTTCTTGCAGATTAAATTTTTATTGTTACTTAAACAGGCATACAAACAAACACAAAATGAGAACACTCACAAAGGAGCTGCTGTAGGCCACAGCTCTCACCTAGAAACACACACACATTTAAAGGCGAACACACACGTATAGTACAATATGTACTGTATCTAAATTTTGTAAAAAAACTCTCTTTACATTCACTTTTATATGTTTTATACAATATAGTGTTATTTTTCTTTTTAAAAATGATTTAAAAGAACTAAATGTTTTTAAAAGTGAAAACAATTGATTTAAAAGCATTTTTACTTGGGGCTGACTTCACTTCTGTTGGCAACTTTATCGCATTTTCGAGCAGCATAACAGCTAAATGCCGCCGCACCACGTTTGCCTTGAAACCTGGGCTCCACTCATTGACATGACTGGAATGTTCCATAATACTGCTATTTGCTGTCAAGTTGTCGGGTTATCAGTGAGTGGGCGACGCTAGCACCTTCTCGACAAAAATGTTCGCACATAAATTTAGTGATTTCGAGAGAGAAACTTACAAGCAGGTGAGGACGTGTAGCGAAAAAAGGTTCAACTATATTTGGTTTAAACCCCCCCGCCCCTCCAAAAAAAACAACATGCACACACAAAATCGTCTCCTGCAGCCGACTACGATCTTGTCTGTCTGGATCTTAGTTCTTTCCGGGTGGCTGGGGGTCCAAGAGGGGTGTTATCGCGACTCCGCCCACATTCTTGACGCTAACCTGCTGCCTGATGCTAATCAGCACGCTCAGCTGCAAATGCAAACAAACAGCGGCAGGAGAACGTGTCAAATTGTACATGCTGTAGCCACAAACACCCTCAAATGGCTTTGAAATACAAATACGGGCTCAAATCCGAATCCTTTGCTCGCAAAGCCACACCAATGGAACACAAACGGTTACCATTTGGTCACGAAAAGCTTTTCGATACCACCGACTGTGAGTTGCATCAACCCAACTAAACAAAAAGAAGGGAATGAAATCGCAACCTACTGGAATAGAATGGTTCACCGTGCTAAATTTGCTGAACAAAAAAAGACAAACGCTCACACCAATCACGAAACAATCTAATCCAAGTCCCTTTGTTCACAAAAGGCTAACGCCTCAGCGGCCAATCAATCCACTGCCGTGGTAACAGAACTAGAAGTGGAAAGCTACCAAAATAAATGCTTGGCAAATTCAACAAAGATATTTACACCATTCACCAAGATCCAAATTCAAGTCCTCTTGTTCACAAAAAGCTCCTCATCATCTCCCACAACCGAAACATTCAAAGCATCGAGAGCAGACAAATGTATGTGGACAGCACCACATTGCTTCCTCAGGCCTATTTTGCCTCAAATTTAGTGGAATTTGAGATGTTTTACAAGCTTTTCAGTTCCAACGTAATTGGTGGAAACGGCCAACGTCCGACTTCGGCCCAGCAGCAAACAGTCGGCGGCTTTAGCGGTCCTTCCCAATCTGGCATGCGCTCTCCTCAGACCTGGCCAAAACCAGCTTATGTTACTTTGATCGCAGACAAATGTGAAAAACACTTGACGGGCAGAGAAAATAGAAGAGATTTTATTCCATCCAGTCACTCGTGGCGAGCCTATAAAAGGATCGGAAATGGTGGACAAAAAGTCTGCAAACAAAAAGAGCCCTGAGTGGTCGCATTGCACAATTGTCTGGTCAACCACGCACCAACTCACAATGTGTAAAAATAAGAAATAGGAATGTTTCTAAAGTCACAAAAGGGGTCAACTGATTCACTGCATGTCAGTTTTTGGAACGCAAAAAATATTTCTGAACATATTGCAATTGTGTCCAATTACTTAGCAGTCGCTAGCTGGGATGACTGAATACGGATGGATTTTAAACTTTCCCAAAGGTGAAAACACATCCTGGCTTCGACCAGTTCAGGATGAAAGAAGTTGTTTTAAACTATAAAGGAAAAACTTTTTCGAAGGTTGACGTGGCTGCATTAGCATACCAGGCCACACTCCGATATGATTTCAAAAAAGTTAATGAGGGGCGGCCCGGTGCGCGAGTGGTTAGCACGCCGACCTCACAGTGCGGAGGTAGTGGGTTCGATTCAAGCTCCGGCCTTCCTGTGTGGAGTTTGCATGTTCTCCCCTTGCCTGCGTGGGTTTTCTCCGGGTACTGCGGTTTCCTCCCACATTCCAAAAACATGCATGGCAGGCTGATTGAACACTCGAAATTGCCCCTAGGTGTTGGTGTGTTAATAAGAGTGGATCAAATGCTAACAAATGCTAATACTTAGAATTTCATTATGTGGCAAGATGGACTTTTGAGCACAGAAAGTTTTTTTGCAGTTAGATACTGAAGCAAGAGACTGATGGGATTGGATGAAATGCAAACAGCTGGTTTGGCATTGTTCCGTTAACGTCGTTCGCGGAGGTTGAGAGCAGGTCAGAGTGCTGTTAGCGCACGTCACCTCACGTTGAACGGTGAGCACGTTTCCAGCGTGAGGCCGGTGTTGTTCTTGGGCCAGGGGGAGTGGAGCAGTAAATCCAGCAGCTGGGGTGTCGCCTCTCACCTAATGAGCGGCGCCGAGCCAGCTGCCAGTCACGTGCGTTTGGGTGAGTTCCAGCTGTGCGCTTTTCAACGCAAAGTTGACGGCCACGGCGGAAAACTATTGAGGGGCCGTCACGTCTTTGCTTCGAGGCCGCCCACGTCGCAGCTGAAGTTTGCGTGTGTGCCGTGTGTTTGCAAATTCCCATCTGCATTCTGTCGCGCGTGCTGCGGTTTTTTCAGTGTTTCGCAGGCCAAAGGGGCCAGGCCTCGGCCGCAAGCACCTCGAGGACATCTCCAAGGCGTCGCCAGACACCGCTTCCTCAGACCAACAATCGCCGAGCAAAGACGACTGCTGAGTGAGCGGAGGATAAAGCCAGCCACACACACTGCCTCCAGCCTCAAGTCCCCAAACATCCCGTTTCAGTAATTAGATAAAACTTTACGCTCCTCATTATCTTTTTCAGTAAAGCGCAACCCCAAAGCCCAAGGCATCTCTTGGAAGAGTGTGTTGGCAGCAACAAATGCTCGTGCAGAAACGCGGAAGTTTGGTTCCAGGTGCCGCAAATAGGGTTTCAACATTTTTAATTATAGTTTCGAGGCAGACATTTTTGCGTTGACCAATTTTTGCGGTCGGCTTAACCAAAGTTAGCGGACTTTTCTTTGCCAGCGCTACTCGATTTATTCATCCAGTGAAACCCTGTATATTCGTGGTTGGGTTTAGTTCCGTTTTTGGAACCTAGCCTCCATTATTCGCCGAAACTCTCCCCTATGTCTATGTCGATGATGTCACATCAATTTACCTCGCTAGCGTGGTGTTTAGCCTCGTACTCAACGTAATACTACTGATAAGCGTCATGTGAAGGTGGGTTGTTTGGGTTGTATAATTTCACTCCTCAGTATTTAACTATTACAATTGTTAATGTACCATGGGTTCATGACTGTGTCCCAGCTAGATGCAGAGTGTTGATGCTTTATGAGCCGCTCCCTTTTCAGTGCTTTGCCGCAAAATTGTAGCATCACTATGTTATTAGAAGCCCCCCTGCCCCCCCCTTTTTTTTGTCAACTATTCACAGCTTTTCACTATTTGTGGTAGGGCATGATCACTATAAATAATGACAATTAAAATGTTGGTGGCGTAATGACTAAAACAGTTTTTAAAGAGGAAGTGAAAATGCATTGAACTTCAAAACTAAACATAGCCGGACTGCACTACTGAGGCACTATTCGAGAATCACTGTACTAAATAAACATCGAGAATGTTGATTAATTTTGGAAAGTAGTTTTTCCAATGCGCTTGCTTCAACATGCAGCTGGACGCTCATTTTTGGGATTCTTATCATGGGCCCCGATTGTTGTATGGATTTCTTTGGTGATGGGAGGAGCATTCTCACCAATTGTTATTCTCTTGTGGGGCTGGTGGATCCCCGAGGTCTCCCAGAATGTTGCTTTTGGAAGTTTTGAGCAGTTCCATCTGCTTCAAACTTCTCTCTGAAGGGAGCAAAGGTGCTGAGGTTGCAATGAATTCATAAGTGCGCAAGGGTCGGTCGACTATAATTTGTTGGCGATTGTACGTTTCAGTCTACTTTCGCTGCATGGCTTAAGGCAAGCCAAAGAAACGAAGGCGGAAGGGACCAATTATCATTCTTGATTCAGCCAAAAGCCAACACCTCTCGGATCGCAGAAATAAGGAGTCAGCCGGCAAACTTTGTAACATTCCTGCTTGAGTCCATTACCTTCTCCGTTACCTTCACATGCCAGTTTCATGTCTGCAGTCGTGGATCACGTTTCACATGATAATCACAGTGTCAGCCCATTAAGTCATCAATCTAACAGCACACCAGTCTGGTCGACAGGACACTTTGGATGGAAGACCGCACACAAGGCACTAACTCAACCACTTGTTAGTCTTTTGTTAGCATTTTGTTGAAAAACAAAGGAAAACAGTTGGTAACAAGCAAGACAGGATCCTGAGAACAGAAAGGATCTTCAATCCTGCTTGGTAGTCGGGTAGAATTTCAAACGAATTGATCAAATGTTAATTAACATTTGGGATGCTACCAAGAATCCAAAACACCAACTGCTGTTAGCTTCCAATGCTGGTCGTTTACGAGCTAACCGCTGACTGGGAGATTGTTAAGGATCTTCGATCATAACTGTCGTCTAGTAGAATTTAGAAGTTGAGCAAATGCTGCCATGCTAACATTTGGTACAAAAAAGAGCAAATGAAATGAATTGCTGTTAGCTTTACCCGCGAGTTGCCAACTTCAAACAGATTGATCATATGCTAACATGCTCACAATGGTTAGGCTATCACCTAGCCAAATAGCAAACTACATCTTGTCATGTTAGTCAGGTACCAGTTCAAACATGATAAGTTGCTAACATTTGCGAATAGTATGCTAACTGGAACAGCAACCTAAACCGTTTGGTCAAACTTTTAAGGAGAAAATTGGAGAATTATTTGACGTTAGCATGCTAGGATTGCATGTGATCAAAAATGTGACTGACAACCAAACATTAGTTGAAGGCGACTGACTGACAAGTGTGAAAAAAATAACACAGACACACAAGTTACGTTATCTGCTAACCTCCGCCGGGGCGCTGCCGGGTCTCAGGGCGGGTGCGGCGCCTCTCAGGTTGACCACATGGACTTCCTGGGGGAGGCCGCTAGTGCCCCGGCTGGCGCAGCCTGACAGGGCTGTGAAGCTCTTGCTCATGGCTTGCACGGGGTGGCTCATGCCCACCGGCAGCAACTCACACGGGCTGCGAAACGGCCCTGCGATGGAAAGAAAAAAAAATGTTTACAGCAGGCAGTGTTGTAAATGAAGCAAATAGTATGGCCAGGTGAAAAAAAAAAAAAAACTAAATAAGGCAGTCATATTTTCTCCTTCAACAATGTAGCGTCACCCAGTTCGACGGTTTACAGGCAATTTAACGTGCAATAAACGAACACATTGCCAATCACGCACTTCAATTGCTTTATTTCTTTATTTGGTCATATTTTCCCTCGAGGCGTGCCAGACGGCACTCTTTCTTCATCATCCCACCTGAGCTGTGAGTGCCACCTGCTACCTTGGAGACGGCGCAAATCAAAAAGTGCATGACGTGCGTCAGAACAAGTCAAGAAGAATGTAATGGATGTATGTGTACTAGGGCTGCATGAATTAAAAGAAGAAAAAGACAAAAAAGTCAAATTATGTTGTGAATAATAAGCAAGAAAAAGGGAAAAATAAAAAGGAAAGTGAACAAGATTGAAGAAAGAAACAAAGAAGGGAAAAGAGCAAGAAAATGAACAGAAATGAAAATGCAAAAGAAAAATACCTGAACAAATAAAAATTGAGGAAAGAAAAATGAGGAAAAAAGGAGAAAAAACAAAAAAGGAAAAAAGAACAAAACTAGAGGAAAAAAGAACACACACAAGAAAGGAAAAAAAGAAAAGAAAAAATAAAATATTAAATAAAATTAATGGAAAATGACGGAAATGAAATAAAGCAAATTGAAAAAAATCATGTAAAATAATTACGAAAAAAGAATAATGAAAAGAAACATTAGTAACAACTACAAATGTTACAAAAGGGTTAAAAAATCTAAAGAAAAAATAAATAAAATGGATAAAAGAAAATAGAAAGTAAAATCACAGAAGGAAAAAAAAAACCCACACACAAGCAAAACAAGAAAAAGTGCAACTTGAAAATGATTCCACATATGCACTCCTCCAAGACACTATCCAAATAAGCAACACCGTGATTTACGTATCGAGTGCAGTGTGAGAGCCGGCAGCGTACGGTAACTCATGTTGACTCTTGCATGACACCACGCCTCCTCCTCGTCCGCCGCAAAGGTGCCTCTCCGTCTTTACGTGTCTCATTTCGACGCACGCAAGACATCAAGGTGGGCGTTGGGAAGCACAGAAATGTGGCGTTGAGGTTTTTTAGGGACGCAACAAACGATTGCGGTCAGGAGCAGAGAAATGGTGGATTTTTTTTTTTGGGGGGGGGGGGTCAGTAGGGGGGGGCTTGTTATATATTGTGTTTGAGCCAGCAGCATCGCGCCCGCCGAGGCCCCGCTCGCCTTACCAAAAGCACGCCGTGGTTACAACATTTGGAAATGATTTGAGGCTCGATTTCAATGTTCAAGTCTTCCAGCATGAGCCAGCGTGTGCTTCAGTGTACTCACTGGCTTTTTTTTTTCTGTTCCTCATCCTCTTTTTTTTTTTTTTTTTTTTTTTGAGAACACAACGCTATTGTTTTCTCTTTCCGTGCCGTCGACTATTTTTCTTCCATTATTATGCCGTCCTTTGTTAGATCAGCAACAATTCTCCTTCTTGAAGGCCTAGAGATGACTTCAATGCTGGCAGAGTATATTTGTGTCAAACACGGAGGTAAAAGTCAAGTCAACTGCAATGCTAATGCTAATTTAGCATATTTCATGGTTTCTGACATTAGGATAGCACCGAATCGTGTTTAAATATCAATAAAAATGCTTTCAAGGGCCTATAAATCACTCAAACGCTAACTGGGTCATGAATAAAATCTTTGGGCATTTTGTTTAAAAAAAAAAAAAAAACTGTGGCAATGACATTAAAGGCCACATCCTCTATGAAAAAAAAATCCAGGTTGATATATGACAAACACGCCAGAGACAGGAAGTTAGAGACAAATAAACAAACCCAACAACCCATGCAATCATTCCTTGGGGGAGGTAGCAAAAGGTCAAGGCGTCAAGTTGACACTTTCAGGCTGAAAGTGAAAACTTCTGAAGCAGAAGACATTCACCCATCACTTGTCAGTCTTTGTCAGTATGATGGCACTTCATTATTCCGTACTTTCATTTTTGAAAAATCCTTATGTTCCATTTCTACACTTTTATGTTTGTTTATTTGTTTGTTTGTTATGGCCTGCCAAGATCTGTGTGTGCTATTTTGCATCATCATAGTGGCAAGTTGGTAGCAGCTTACTGGAAAAATGGTGTTCACATTGTAGCAAAGTGGTTAAAGCACAGTAAGAGTGGCGTAGTTATCATATCAATAGTAGCAGCATATTAGTTGCATCGTACTTCAAGCACAGTACATGGAGCAGTATTTTTAAATAAATTATCTGGCACGTTCTGAGCTGAGCATCACGAAGAACGAAAACAAAGCTTCCTCGAACGTGTAAGTGAAACGTTACGAGCGAACCTATCTTGAAAGTCGACTTCAAATATTTGCGCTCGTTGCAGAGCAAAGAAGAGCGTTAGCGTGGGCCGTGGCCTTCGCTCTTCTTCTGTGGTGCCTCGACTGTTTATTTGTGCGGTTCTGCCTGCTTGTGTGTGCAACACACACACACACACACACACACACACACACACACACACACACACACACACACACACACGGGCACCAAAAGCAGCATTAGGAGGATTATTATGTCTGGCAAGATATGATAATGATATCCTTTTGTTGTTGTACATTCATGATCACAGGAAGTGGCTGCTGGGGATCCTAATTAGGGCACATAGCGCACTTCAATAGACCGTGGTGGGGTGTTTATAAGGCCCGCGATAGGACTGCTCGCTCAGCATAGCCATCAATAAATAAATAAGCCTTGATTTATATACGAGTGCCTTTTAATGGATGCAATGATGCTTAACAATAACCCATCAAAACAGTAGAGGAGTAGCATAGTCATAATAGCGTAGTGGGAGGTTTATAATGGTAGCATAGTGGTCGTGCAGTAGTAGTGCAAGTTATTTGATGATATTTTTCTGACCATCTGTCACAAAATAAGAGGAAAGTGACAAGCGCGAGGACTCCGAACAAATCTGCTACTTCCGACAGGGTGGCGCCCGGCCAAGATTTGGAAACAGGAAGTGATGTCAGTTGCTGTGTGCCAGTTTGGGACGAGTCAGATATTCCCACAAAGCCATTTCCCGAGATAAACAAACACACACGCACGCGCACACACACGCACAAAATCTCCACTCCCACTCTTGCATGCAAAAACTTGCCTTGAACTCAGTGCCCTGATTGTGTTGCTTCAATATAACAAAGTGTAGCGTAGCTCTTGAATATTGACATTGTAGGAATTGTAACATTGTGGTAGCATCGTGAAAGCACAATAGTGGCAACACTGTCACAATAGCAGAGCAGCGGCATCGTCTGAGTCAAAGTGGCAGAACAGTTGCAACATTCTATTTGTAATGTAGCATAAGTACTACTAGCATTGTAGTAGTATCGGAATGAAAAAAAAAATTGGTATCGAACATCGCTAGTGGTAATATAAAAGAAGCATAGCCAAAGCAATAAAACCTGGCCCTGTAACCAGTGTAAAAGTACACCATTGCTATATTAATATCTGTAGTAGTACCACTATATGATTTATGATTGATTTTTTTTTTCCTGAATGAAAACAACGTTTAAGTCTACTACTAGTGGACGTTAAGGCCCAAAAGCACAGTTCCAACGGGCAAATCCTTAATAAGGCCACTTTAATTACAGTGAATATGAGTTTTTATTGCGAACTTCAATAGATCTCCTCCCAGCTTCCCGCAGGATTAAAATGATCCTCTGGCCTCCTTTTCTGCTGCACCGCGGGGCACCGTTCCCACGCAAAATGAAACATCTCCTACCCACTTTGCTGCCACAGGGGGGCCATTTAAAAAACAAAAAAAAAATCAAACAAAAAAAACAATTCCCCCCTTCACCAGCACACAATCAGCAGGAACCCTCGCTAGCCCCTGAACCCCAAAGGTGCTGCTCCAGGAAGCCAGCAAAGCTCTTTATGAGGGGGCAAGGAGGTTCATGTCGCCAAGAAGATTTATCTGCCGTAAAACAAACTGCAGACACGACAAACGGAAGCTGGGACGGGATGAAGCCAGTCAAGCGGGAGGGAACTCCTGAAGGAACTCGGAATCTCTAAAGTGCAGGTGAAGGCGAATAAGACAGACATAACTACAACAATAATCATTGAGTCATGTACGACAGTCTAAATCTTTTTTTTTTTTCAGAATAGTAGGACATGTCATCTTTTTGGGAAATGAGGGAGGCAGACAAGCGCAACAGTAACTGAATATAAATGTTATAATAACACCAGTGGCCTTAATGATATATTATAGCGACACACTTTACTGCAAAGTGTAACATCATTAAATGGTCTTCTTTTATTAAATCAAGGGTGGTTAGCCCGACAACAGTAATCATTTGAACAGTATGGATTGTTCTGCTATTAAAACATCAAGGAGCTCAATATGTAAATCTAAATATAATGTTTTTAAATCTTTTCTTTTTTAAGAAAATGCAACATCAAAAATTTGTCTTCTGTCTCAGGAAATAAAAGATACAGACAATTGCAGCGGTAGCAGTTTTACGCAATTAAAACATCAATTCCCTTTGTAATACTGGAGTCAAGACCACTTTTTCAGCGCAAGATTTTCTTTTTCGGAAAGTGTGACATCATGAATGTTTTTTCAAAGAAAGATGCGCAAAGTATCGGTTTGAGTTAATATGCTATAACATCAAGGAGCTCAATATGTAAATCTAAATATAACGTTTTAAAATGTTTTCTTTTTAAGAAAGTGCAACATCAAAAATTTGTCTTCTTTCTCAGGAAAGATACAGACAATTGCAGCAGTAACAGTTGGCAGTCTGAATTACGCAATTAAAACATCAATGGCCTTTGTAATACTGGATTCATGACCACTTTTTCAGCGCAAGATTTTCTTTTTAGGAAAGTGTGACATCATGAATTTTTTTTTCAAAGAAAGATGTGCAAAGTATCGGTTTGAGTTATTACGCTATAA